AAAGTCCTCGTTTTGCGACTCTGGTTATATATATGTTTATTTAATTTTACCTATGAAATATGGTGCTATATCAGTCAAATATATTTCATATTTTTTAAAAATAAATATGAAATATAAATATGAATGTGGGCGGAGTCAAAACTCATATTTATTTGAAGGGACTTCTTTCGCCATTTTGTTTGAAAAATCTGATAAATACAAACAACTTTTTTGTTGAATTTTGTTTTGAAAACTATCTAGAATGATAGAAAATGGTCTAACTAAGAAAATAAATCCGAACACCAATATCTTTAATTCAGTCATTAACGCTGTACAGACGTTTAAAAAGTTGTGACGTCACAATCTAGCGCTAAATATCGCGTGCAAAACAAGTTAAGATGTTCTCGAAGCTCGACAAAAAACAACAAAAAAAAACAAAAAAACAAACAAAACAAAAACAAACAAACAAACAAACAAACAAACAAACAACAACAAATAATATCTATATAGATATACATGTACACACGTCTTGACTGAAAGTTCAATTGAACAGTTTGTGAAGTTCTTAACCAAGAATTTAGTTGTCACGTTTTTATGCCGTATTGTGTAAAATTTGCATGTCGCTAACTACATGTAGCTACAAAACACTCTAAATAAAAGTCTTCCATTTTGAATTTGACTTAAAAACTACAAACATTTTCAATAATACAAAATCTTATATTAGAAATTTTAGTATCATATAAAGATGCTAGCAGACTGTACGGAATTCGAGAATCTTTGAGCTTGATCTTTTTTTCATATCATATACAGACAGTCGTGATGCACATTATAATTTATTTGAACAATGCAATAAGAGACCACAGTCGTCTATTAACGAGAAGATTTATTACCAATTGCTCATGAATAAAACCATGAAAAAGTGCGAGTAGTCTATGAAAAGTTTTTGATAATAAAAGGATAGTTATAAAGTACGCTATTTATATTATTAAGGAGAAACAAGATGTTTTTTCAAGATCTGTGACGGCTGTTTTTATCAAAAATAGACAATATAGCCTTTAATACTGAGACATTTTATTTTCAAATATACTCATAATATGGTTGTAATAGAAGCAAACGTTTCAATATGATAGGATACAAAGCGTACTTATTATTAAAAGTCCTGGGCAGCGTTTTACTAACATTGCGTAAGTTTTTCGTAAGTATTTTCGTAACTTTACGCTTACGTTTAAACTTACGTAAATCGTAAGTGTGTTTCACAAAACGTTCGTAAGTTTTTTCTTAAACTTACGTTAAAAAAGTGCGTAACTCTTCAAAGAAGGTTTTAAGGAGTCGTTTTGGTTATATTTAATGACCGCAAAACATTTATTTAAAAGGCTAAACTGGTATTTCGTAGTCATCTACGAATACTCAGGAATGTTGCTGGGCAATACGTATTTTTAAGTGCATTTTTTAAATAAATGCATTTATAGGGTAGAAAGGAAAATCCTATAAATTATGATTCATCATGGAAGATATTTAAAGGGTTTTTGTTTGTTTTGAGAAGTGAAAAAACTGTAATGTCCGTAATTTGGATTTTTTTTCTCATTTTTATATGAAATATTTAGCTTATTCAAGTAACCCACATTCTTTAAAATATTTTTATTCTATTTATTTATCTTTATTTTATTTATCTAGTTTATAACTATCAAGTTAACCCCCTTGATTTTTAACGATTTTACACTAAAACTTGCAAAAAACATGAGTAAAAAGATGACACAAAAATGCCACATGCAAACAAAAGATACTAACGATTTTAGTCATCAATGCAGTTTTTTTGTGAAGTAATGTTATCTGAATATTTGCCATAAAAAATTAGTGCAACAGATAATTTTATGTACATTTGCAAATCATACAATTTAATGAACATATGAAGTTCATCATCATTTTGAGATACTCTTCTATTCCGTCTTCATTTACTTGATACAGTATAGAACAAATGAAATTAACTGAGTTTCAGTTAATATTATAATTATTATGTCATTTATAAAATTCTCAATTAATCAGCATCAAAAGCTCGTGAAAGTAAAATTATATAAAACACATAATAACCGATTTGACTTTCGTCTTTAAGCTGATAGGACGACTTCCACATTCGTATATTATTTTACTAAATTTAATTTTTAAAAAGTCCATAAAGCCGCATTATCCTTTCCTTACTTAGACATTACTTTTCCAGAGCCGCTTTCACCATTAAAATATATATTACATTACCAATCACATCCGTTTCTAAAATTCTCGCTTTCCTTCTCTGCCATTATTCATAGATGATGTCAGTCTTACTTATGTTAGTTTTAAGTCAACAAATTTTAAACGTAACTTTACGCAAAAACTTACGAAATTCTTACTTACGCAAATTTTTAGTAAAACACTTTTACGTAAAAAATTAGACGTAAGTTATAATTTACGCAAATCTTATGCGTAAGTACGTTAGTAAAACGCTGCCCTGGTCTATAAAGAATACAATATTAAGATAAATTAAAGGATAAAATAGTGAAATAGCATGGCATGGTCGTTTTCTAGACCGTCTGGACATATTTCGTTTCACAAAATTGTCTAGTTTTGAAAAAATCGATTAAGTTATGATGGAGAAATCAGATAAAACATAACCTCGGGTAAACTCGACGTTCACTTTCGTGTTCCATGTTTTGAAGGCTAATTCCGGTACATGCTGTACAACTGTGTGGATGTGCAGTCTGACAAATATGTAGATAATAAACACGAATATAAATATGAAGCTCGACTGGAATTTTGACCAGCTGAGTCAATTCTCAATAAATGTTTTCAATGAGGCTTTGTTTGCACGTTAAGCATCGTTTGGTGGTAATTTTGTGAAAACTGTGTATTTGGAGTCCGTTTGTGATATTTTCTCCATATACTTTACATATTATGGACACATCAGGAACCGCGACGGAAAGAATATCTCGATGAAGACTGCATATAAATGCGAACAAAAATGGGAAAATATGGAGGAAAGCCAGGAGTGTAGAATCCCATTTCGATTTTCTTAAAAAAAACTTTTAAACTAATATAAATGTTTAAAATGTTAAAACCTCACCCAGAATTAAAGCTCACATCTGGAATTTCACATATATTTTATCCCGATGCTCAAATTTTAGATCCATATGGGGTCCCCGCCCCGTGATAAAGGTACAACACTCCTCCCGTCAACTTGCAGCGGCGGAGCGAAAATCAATCTCCGATACTAAATATGCTAGAATAACTCATCCCGACGGATCAGAAAAAAATATAACAACACTCGGGTGAATTATGCTGCAGTTTACAACTGCTACACAACATAGAAAATTTAAAAAGGGAAAATACAACTCACTCGAACTGCTCATCCAATTATTTTTAATACTTCCTTCAGTCCAACCTATTGAGTATAACATACACTTCAGGTATGTTACTTTACGACGGACTTTTTCTAGATTTTGCATATCTTCACATTTTGATTACATTTCTATGTCACACTTTTTCCCCCGCAATAAGCATTTAAATTGTATTTATTTTTAAGGGAAGCAAATCTTCTATCTTAACAATACACTACTTATAAGAATTTGTTTCCCTTTGACGGAAGTTTATTTGTTATAATAAAATCAATTTATGGGAGTTATTTAATTCAATTATATTAATTAATTAATTTGTTTACTTGTAATTCATAATAAGAGTTTCTGAAAAAGATATCTGCTGTGTGTTTTACGCGATGTGGAGATTTCTATTATAAAAACGTAAAAATCATTGTTCATATACATATTAATTTAAATAAAAAGACTTAAGAAAAAAATATCAATGTTTGCTATCATTAAAACAAGTAATGTGTTTTGTTGCAAGTCGTGGCGTTACATCCCAGTTTAAAAGGGGTTTTCTGTAAAAACGGCCATCAAACTCAAACGGGGTTGGATCAGTGAATACTATCGGTTGTTATCGTTTGTAAATCGGAGCTAAATCGGGCGTAACAATGATGACGTCGACACCATCGTCAAATAAAACGATGTCACTAATAATGTTCAAAAGCGTTACAAATCAACTTTTAGTTGTCTAAAAATTATAAAATTTGTCTTGAAAAATTTAGAAAAGATTGTATTTTGTTTATTTGCCCTAGACTAAATTTTGGTAGGCCAATCTTGTTATACTACATGTTTGTAACTCACTTTTCATATACTAGGATAATCGTGACGCTTATATAAACGACAGATGACAGTTATTGAAGTCAGTTCTTCTTTTTCTCTAATAAAGGATGTTTGCTGTATTACAACACTCGTATTAACAATTCTTGAAGTTTATATGACGGTATAAAAACAGTTGTTTGTAATAAAGTCCTCGACTCTGGTTATATGTTTATAATACTGCACGTCTGTAACGTCGCCTTTCAGTAGATAATTGTAATGGTTACACGGCTTATGTCGAATAATGGAGAAATGTTTGATTTTCCTCAAAGTAATTCTACAGTATTATAAATTCATTATAAAGATGCCTAGCGTGTTATAGACATGTAAACTGCGGCTCGGGTTATAATATTTGTTCTGCAATACTAGTAATGGTCACTACGAGGGTCATTTGATAGGTTCCAGGACGGCGTTATTAACGTAAACGTTTTACAAAAATGTACCTAAATATGTGCGTACATGTAAATAGAGGATATTAAGTGGTTCTGAGTGAATATTCTATGTTATATCAAACGAAAAAGTGAGAGAATGTTGTTTTTTTTCACCAGTGCGTATCAGACCTGGACATGTTGATATTTTATTACGTCGTTGTGTGATTATAATTTTATAAATGTACATGTTTAGCATATTAAAAAAACAAAAAAAAAAAAACAACAAAAAAACAAAAACAACAACAACAACAAAAAGAAAGTCAAAACAAGCAAAAAATATGATGCAGTAGTGGCTATTTTTGCATTATGTAATGTGAAAATTTCTTCCTTTGTTCACTTTACAATATTTTACTTTTAAATACATTTTCCTAATTGTTATAAAAATAAACATGGATCTTGCTACTTTAACGAAATCATAACATTATGTTTAATCATTTTAATGTTGAAATTTTAAAGAAATTATGGCATTACATTTCATGATTTCTTTCTATGAATATAATTATATTTTATAGGGGTCATTCAACACGTACCTGAAATTTTACTTTTACTGAACTTTGCCAATTTAGCCAGAATCACTCAATTTTATTCAGTTTTTACCAGATTATCATCCATTTGCCGCTTCTTTCAACAACTTAAGATGTCATATACTCAAAGCCACTAGTGACCAAAACTGGCATTTTCAATAAACGAATTAAAAGCAATAATTATAATAAAATAAGACAAAATTATTTCAGTTTATTTTTTTCCTTTAATTTGATATGAAACAGTACGTGATTTCAACAACTTCAAGTATCTTACACACACACATCCACTGAACAGAACAATTGTATCTTAATTATATACTCTTATTATTTAGTGTCTGTTAAATTAAACAATGATACCCACGTGCTGTAATATCTTCCTTCTTCTTTTTGGATTTAAGTGTCTATTCTGATATATATAATGTATATTAGCCCATACATGTTAATATATATAAATATTATATATATGAATAAAGAGAGATACTTGGAAAACATCTTGACACTGGAAATAAAATAACAATCTAAACAATAAATGTGATTATTGTTTAATTACTTAAAGTAAGTAAGCTCAGAAAGTGTTCCTCGTTGCAAGGACAAGATATCAAGTGTCGTTAGAACAGATGAAATCAGATTTATGAACTCATAAATTTCCTTGAATTTCCCTTTCTTACGGTACTTAAAAAACGATTGAGGGAGTGTCTGTCAGGGGTTGAAGGTTACCCGATAATGTTGATCGCGCAGTTGTTACTTAAAGAATGAGTTTAACTGCGGATAACGTTTAGATGACGTTATTTGACCGTTTTGAATGAAGTTGTACTTTCATACGCGGATGTACGAATATGCATCAATTTGAAATATACATGTAGCTTTAAGTTACAGCTCATACACCCAAACTGTCCATGACAAAATGTGTATACAGTTATATAAACACATGTACACTTCGCTAAATCGTCTTTTATATTTCATTTACAATATATATAATTATGGTAAAATGATTTACATTATATTATAGAAATTACAGATGTTAGAGATGTTAACTGAACGTTCGAAAAAAAGATAATAAACTAAAAACGTATACATATGACACAGATGCCCCCATACTTTAATATTTTGACAATATGTAAACTGATTTTCAGTAATATACAATATATAACAAAATCATCACATGTAATACATATGTTTAAGTTCTATTTTCTGTTTTTCCTCCAAAATATCACCTATATATATATAGGTATATATCATATGTACACACTGTATATTTGCACATATAAGCTTCAACTTTATGATGCTGAAACGATGACTGTTACATTATATAGTTTCTTATTTAACTTTCACTGTAGCAGAGATCAGTTGAATTTCGCTCATAAAATTACACATTTTCGTCTCCCTCGTCTAGGAGCAGGTCTCTTATTTTTTGGAGACAAAACGGCCAATATTGCCTCAACAAAAACGTCATTGAGACCCTGCTGAGTTAAAGCACTACATTCTACATAACCATATGCATTAACTTTCTTAGCTAATTTGGTACCTTCCTCATGAGTTGCTGGTTTTGATCTATAATTTTGTTGAAGTTTTCCTAGCACACGTTCATTATCTCGTTGATCTATTTGAGTTCCCACTATGAGAAAAGCGGAAGTAGGCGAATGATATCGCACTTCCGGTAGCCATTTCATTTCAATATTTTCCATACTACTTGGCGAAACAACAGAGTAACATAAAAGGAATACATGTGTGCCAGGGTAGGTAAGGGGACGTACACGGTCGTAATCTTCCTGGAAAATACAAACAATTTCTTGAGCAATTAATTCAACGCACACTTAAATGGTGTTCGCAGTAGCCTACAATTATAGTGAAATGAAAAGTGATTTCAAATTGAATCCATTCTTGTGAAAAACAATTTCGTTATAATAATGTTAAATAATAACATATCGTACATGTAATATAAAAGCAAGTATATGTAAATCAGCAGCTTTAAGAAAATTTTGCAAATTTTATTACAGATATAACTTCAACATGACGTTTTACCTACTTAATTTGAACAATTTTTACATGCACCAAACTTACATCTATATATTTATACTGATTGTTATTCTATTTTAAATTTAAAGTATTTTTACAGAAGACAGCTGCTGATAAAATTATTTTTGATACATTGAATAGTCTTATATTGAAGACAAAACAGAAAGCAAGAGTTGCAGGCCAGCCTGCGCCACGACTATTCTCATGTTTATAGTAAAACAAGATATGCTTGTAAAACATGTATGCACCCTATCGGCAGCCAATTAGTCATGTGATCAGGTAATTATGACTTACCTTTGACGTAGTGACCAAAACATCAATAAGGGTTATCTACTGGTCACTAGGTAATTGTGACCACAAAGGTTGTGTGCAGCAATTTTATGACAAAGCTATCACAAATCTTTTCAAAAAACATATAAATAAATTCATGAATCATGTAGGCCTAATTTATGACAGCCAAGTTGATATATTACATAAGACCTTGAAATATGTATACCCAAAGAATTTTAGTTTAAGAAAAAATATCAACCAGGGCAACTTGAGTTCTTTAGTTATTGGTCATTAACAGTCTTTATATACAATGTCAATATTTCATCGACCTTTGACCCTTAAATTAATAGGAATTATCTACTGGTCAAGACCAATGCACCTGTGAAGTTTGAAGGTAAAGGGCCCATGAGTTTTGGGATATTGATCAGAAAGCGTTTTTACGTTTAAGGTCAATATAACCTTGACCTCTCTGTCTTAAACCCAAAAATATATTGAGGTAATCTTCTCACCCAAAGCAAGCCTGAAGGTCAAATGTCCATGGGTTGTTCAGTTATTGATAGAAAACCATTTTGACATACAAATTCAATACGACCATGACCCCCTGACCCCAAAATCAATAGGTGTCATCTACTGGCCAATACCAGTGCACCTACACAGTTTGAAGGCCAACAGCCGATAGCTTGTCGAGTTATTGGTCAGAAACCGTTTTTCCTACAAGGCCAATTTGACCTTGATCTTTGACCATTGTTGTCCCCTGACCCCAAAATCAATAGGGATCATCTACTGGTCAAGAATAATGCACATACGAAGTTTGAAGGCCAACAGCCTATGGGTTGTCAAGTTATTTATTGAAACCCGTTTTCACCTACAAGGTCAATGTGACCTTTACTTTTGATCCTTTGACCCAAAAATCAATAGGGTCATGAACTATCACCGTACCATGTTTGAAGTTCCTACGCCTAAACGTTACTTAGTTATTGATCGGAAACCGTTTTTACCAACAAGGTCAATGTTACCTTGAACTTTAACCCCTTTGACCCCAAAATCAATTAAGTTTGATGTTCCAAGGCCAAGCGTCCTTTAGTTATTGATCGGAAACCTTTTTTACCTTGAAGGTCAATGTGACCATGACCTTTGACCCTTGACCCCAAAATCAATAGGGGTCATCTGCTGGTCATGAACAATCACTGTACCAAATTTTAAATTTCCTTGTCCTAAGCGTTCTGTAGTTATCACTTGGTCTACGGACCGACCGACAGACAAATGCAAAGCAATATTCCCTCTCTTCTTTGAAGGAGGGTGGGGGTATAATAATACACTAAAAAAAGTAGGACATGTAAGAGGATATAGAAAAACAAGTTTAAAACAAGGTACTAAAATTCCGACAAAATCCATGTTAGAGTTACGATACTTGAAAGATTACCTTTAATTATGATCGAAGGCTTGTGTGCAGTTTCTATCAAATACCTACAATATTTTAGGATATTGATCTTGCAAGCAAAACTTCTTATAATTTAGAATTTAGAACTTTAAGTGGTTTCTGAGATATGAAGATGCATGCAAAGCCATAACAGCGCTAAGACGACCAACTTTGAATAGGTTAGTCTTGCAATTCCTTGAATAGTCGAGCTAAATTATCTTATGTTTCGAGAACTGTTGGATCATTTTTTTCCTACAATATTATATACAGTAATTTAAACACGTATTTGAATGCGCAAAACCTTAAAGGGACTCCACTGAAGTTTTTTGATAGATGGGACTGTAACTATTTTTGCAGATAAATGTGCCATTTGATGTAGTTTTAGACCATTAATATTACTGCCAAATTTCAGATCATTTGAGCAATTTGTTTTTCCAGAATAATTGTTCAAATTGTAAAAAAATGACACAAATTGAAAAGCGTTTAAACGCTTTTCACTCAAATATGGCTAAGAAAGGCATACAAATATGATTTTCAATTTGTTTTAAAGTATATTTCTTAACTATCTTCGCATATATCTCTGTTCAAAGTGCCCCAGCTCATTCAAGTAAGAAATTCAAATGTTATGTGTTTAGGCTTTTAAACGTCAGTGGAGTCCCTTTAAGAACATTTACACAATCCATTGCGGATAATTGATCATTTTAAAAATTTTGAATATACCGTTACATTTTAACGAAAATTTTCGTCGTCAAAACCATTTTTTAAAGCTGAACATTTTTCTTTTAATAAATTTGGTGACTAAAGTAGTCCGAAAAGGGAAATGCTACTGGATAAAAGGACGCCAAAGGCCTCAACAGACGGTAGGATTTAGTTGTACAGCACTTATTAATGATATGATGTACAATTTTCAAAGCAAAACATCACTTGCATTCAGACGGTAATTTTACACTGAGGTTTCCCTAAAAAGGATCCCTCCCAATTGATCCTTTACATACTTTACTCACTAAATACTTCTTTCGCCATGAGTAATGAGTGAAACCTCTCCATTAAAAAAAAATAATGTGAAGCCTGACCGAGACTCAAACCTGGGACCCTCTGAATACCGTACCGCGTCTCTACTGACTAAGCTATCCGGCCGCCTACAAACTGCCTCCCCTCCCCTAATTAAAGAACAGTTCAATACCGTGAGATAATCATTTTCGGAATAATTTGGGATTTGAACATAATACAACTTTTGGTCTCCTGAAGAGTTTTTCAACATCATTTTTACCCCATCTTACTACTATGGTTACTTATTGTTCTGGAAATTCATTCATTACACCCATTATCAGGAGATAATTTGGTTATCTGTTGTTTGTCATTGTGGGAGGTCTGTAGAAATCTGTACGACAAGATTTTCAAAATAGAACATGTCCTATCCCTTACATCTAGACTTAAGGTTTCCGAATTCAAGAATTAGTAGCCTTCACACATTAAGATTTGCCTGTACATATTAGTTTTAATTGGTGTTGTACTTCAAAATCCAACCGTCTGTTGAGGCCTTAACACAACAATGACTTTATCACTCGTAACTACATATTCATTTACACTGCTGTCGTCAACTAATGTACATTTATGTATGTCCTACTTAAGTTTGTAAGGATATGACAATCAGCCCATTTCATTTATCCAATTTTTTGTTTAAAGCTGTATAAATATTGTGATATTGATGTCTTTAGCCGAGGTTTTCTTTGTATCTGATCTTTAAAAAAAATATGCTGGACTACGTGTTAGAACACAGCACAGATAAGTCACCGCATCGTTCTTGGGCATGCTGTCAAGCAGTTAACCTGTAAAGATGCTTTCACTTTCACAAGCAATTGATAACTTCTGAAGATGCCAGGATTTCATGATCAATCACAAAGAAAGAAACCGTCCGGGAATCGAACCCACGTTGCCAGACCAACAGTCCAACGCTTTCTATATCTTACTTATCGGATTATTCGAACCTATACCAGTAACTTACGAAAGAACTGGATACATCTTAAAATTAAAACATCGTGAGTTTCTCACCTGTCCATGAGTATCAAATAGCCCAAGTTGGTAAGATGTTTCCCCTATAGTGACAGTAACTGTAATAGATAAAACAAAACTTAATTAATTATACTACTAAAACACGTCATGTGTTCATACGTAATACGTGATCTGCAACATATGGATTGGTGTTTTCAGCAATGTTATCGTGCATTTTTGAAATTGGACAAAAATACCTTAGTGATAAGTATTTAAAAAGTATTTGTTTCCAATGGGTTTGAAAATAAGAATTATAAGTTTCACTTAATCAGGAACACATTAGAAATACACTAAGTTCAATACCCTGATCTTGTGCCCATGCATAGACAATTTCAAAATTTATTCAAAAGTAATCACATGCATATTTAAACAAGAGGACCATGATGGCCCTTATATCGCTCACCTGATGACATTGAAAATATTAAAATTGTTAACATTGAATAAAAGTAAATATAATGCCTTAATCTTGATATTATAACATTCTGCATTCTGAAACAGTGCAAATGTAATTTAAAAATGTTCTCCATATAGACGCCTTGCAGAATGTCGAAGGTCAATTTCAGGTCACTCATGCTTTATTTAATGGAGGCAGAAAACCTCCAGAAGTTTAAAAAGAAGTTATTTAACAATAATCATACTTTAATTGTTAAAATAAGCAATTGTTATTAGTAAAATATATCTAACATTTTTCAGACATTTGTGAATTATTTGATATTTTTGTCTGTTGGTTAATTTGGGGTTTGTTGATGTTAAAATTAAGGATATTACTTAATGGTGAATAAAATAGTTTAAGATTTAAAAGAATTATGAAATATCATAAATGAAATATTCTTATGAAATATTTTTTTTATAAAATTAAAAAAAAAAAAAAATGGTAACATAATGATATTTCCATCTCACATAGAGTATTTCTTTTATTGAAAACATATGAAAACTGTGCATTAACATAATAAAATGTTGCGGAACAACATATTATGCTACTACTTTAAATAGGTTTTTAACAAAACAAAACATAATTATTTCATAAAGGCATTCTTATTCAAATGTATGGATGCTCAAATAGGCAAAACAAAGAAAACACAATGTCATTAATTAGATTCCCATATACTTATTGTGGAGAAGGGATGCATGGACAAAAGCTATAAAAAGATTGGACTAAGAAAATTTAAGCCGTGGCAACCAACAAATAATTCTTTTTATTCATTTTACGTTTTATAATGTCACCAATTGTTTTGCTTCATGATTTTTACTATGCTTCATAACATGAATGACTATTAAGAAACTGATCGGTCTTATAATTTCTCCATTTCACATAGTTAATTAATTGTTAGCAAAAAATGAAGTTTAGCCTTATTTTTTAACAGGCTTTTCTGCAGAAGCTGAACTATTTTATATGACTATGTTATGCATTTCAAAAGACAAAGAATGTCTGTATAATTTGGTAAGATATTACACAAATATTTGTATTTAAGCCAGTCTGTTGTTTCATTTTTTTCTGTAGTCTGACCTTTTTAATTAAATATTGGTAGTTTTGAATTGTAGTTATGAAACTGAGTTTATGCCTGAGGTTAAAAATAAATTAAAGGTGATTGAAATAAATCGATAACAATTTAGGTTGCATGGATTTGATCATATTTTTAGCTCACCTGTCAAAAAGTGACAGGGTGAGCTTTTGTGATCGCTTTTCGTCCGGCGTCCGTCCGTCGTCCGTCGTCCGTAAACTTTTACTTTATATGACATCTCCTCATTAACTACTAGGCCAATTTCATCCAAACTTCACAGGAATGTTCCTTTGGTGGTCACCTTTAAAAAATGTTCAAAGAATTTAATTCCATGCAGATCTCTGGTTGCCATGGCAACCGAAAGAAAAAACTTTAAATATCTTCTTTTAAAAAAACCCTAAGAGCTAGAGCTTAGATATTTGGCATGAAACATTTTCTAGTGAGTGTCTACCAAGTTTGTTAAAAAAAAGCCTTGGGGTCAAAATTGGCTCCGCCCCAGGGGGGTCATTGATTTTCCCTATATGCATATAGTAAAAACTTAAAAAATCTTGTTTTAAAGAACCCAAAGAGCTTGAGCTAAGATATTTAAAATGAAACATGTTCTAATTAGTGTCTACCAAGTTTGTTCAAATAAAAGCCCTGGGGTCAAAATTGGCCCCGCCCCAGGGGGTCATTGATTTCCCCTTTATGCATATAGTAAAAACTTAAATAATCTTCTTTTAAAGAACTCAATAAGCTAGAGCTAAGATATTTAGCATCAAACATGTTCTAATAGTTGTCTGCCAAGTTTGTTCAAATAAAAGCCCTAGGGTCAAAATTGACCCCGCCGCGGGGGTCATTGATTTTCATTATATATGTGTATAGCAAAAACTTAAAAAATCTTCTTGGAAAAAACCCAAATAGCTAGAGTTTAGATATTAAGCATGAAACATCTTCTAGTGAGTGTCTACATAGTTTGTTCAAATAAAAGACCTGGGGTCAAAATTGGCCCCGCCCCGTAGGTCATTGATTTTCCGCATATATGTATAGCAAAAACTTAAAATCTTCTTTGAAAAAACCCAAATTGCTAGAGTTTAGATATTAAGCATGAAACATCTTCTAGTAAGTGTCTACAAAGTTTGTTCAAATTAAAGCCCTAGGGTCAAAACTGGCCCGGCCCCAGGGATGTCATTGTTTTTAACTATCTGTGTATAGTAAAAACTTAAAAAAATCTTCTTTTAAAAAGCCCAATGAGCTAGAGCTTAGATGTTTAGCATGAAACATCTTCTTATGGGTGTCTACAAAGTTTGTTCAAATAAAAGCCCTGGGGTAAAACTTGGCCCAACCCCAGGGGGTCATTGATTTTCCCTATTTGCATATAGTAAAAACTTAAAAAATCTTTTTTTAAAGAACTTAAAGAGCTAGAGCTAAGATATTTAGCATCAAATAAGTTCTAATAGCTGTCTACCAAGTTTGTTCAAATAAAAGCCCTGGGGTCAAAATTGGCCCCGCCCCGGGGGTCATTAATTTTCCTAATATGTGTATAGCAAAAACTAAAAATCTTCTTTGAAAAAACCCAAATAGCTAAAGTTTAGATATTAAGCATGAAACATCTTCTAGTAAGTGTCTACAAAGTTTGTTCAAATAAAAGCCCTAGGGTCAAAATTGGCCCCGATCCAGGGGTGTCATTGTTTTAACTATATGTGTATAGTAAAAACTTAAAAAAATCTTCTTTTAAAAAGCCCAATGGGCTAGAGCTTAGATGTTTAGCATGAAACATCTTATTATGGGTGTGTGTGTGGGGGGGGGGGGCTATTGTCACAAAGTGAAAGTACGTTTGTAAATCTTGCATTATATTTTCACGCCGAACCTCATTTTTACTCTATATTCATTGATGTGAGATTGCATCATCTTTTGTTCAATTTAGAGTTTTCGGGTGAAATTATTATTTAGAGTATTTTTATGGTTTGCATAAATTTCCATGTATCAATTTAAACATTTTGCCGTTTATTTCACAAAACTCCTTTCAGTAATAAGAAAGTTACATTTTTGTTTTATTAACCAGATATATGTATTATGTCTGTATTTGAAGGACGGGCCTTTATTTTACATAACTATTTTTCCCGCCGTCCAAGCTTTATTTCGTGCAAATCGATTTTTTTCATGTTTTGCACGATCCGTTTTCCCGCTCAGTACTCAGTAGTTTGCTATATATTGACTAAATTTTAAGTGACATATTGCAAATGCACTGGACGTTATACAGGTCACTATGACGGTGACAGACAAATTATATTTGTCATAAAATTACAGCTTGTACAAGGTAAATTTAATTTTCTAGTGATTTTGTTTCATAAATTTTTGCTATTTCGTAAAATACTATTTTCTATTAGAATTATAGTTTATTTGATTCAGGTTTAGTTATTTGGCAGTAATTTATTGTTTTCTAAATTTTTGCAGATTAAATTTTAAAAGCTCTTTTTATTCTAGTGTTTCGCTATTGCAAATTTATACCGAGACATGTTAATTGATGTATGTTAATTGAAGTTTTAATTATATTGTAATTGTATAGGAGCCATGAATATTTTATAGATATATATATCTATTCATAAATAATTTATTATGGTTCTACCGTATTTGTGTAACTTTATGTAAAATGCTGCAGTATCGCAATGATTTGTTTCAATCAATTTAATTTACGTTATCATCTTACTTCATTTCATTTATCATCAGTTTTTGTTATAAGTAAATACAACGTATCAAAACTAACGTATCTCTAGAGAAGGATCTTCAGTGGCATGATTTTGGAAGACGTTTAATTATTGGTGGTTATTATGTGGCGTATACTTGAATATATTTGCAACGCAGTATTATGCGGATGTGATTGAATTTTTGTTCCACGGAATGTATGGTGTACTATAGTGGACATTTTGTTTATTCAAAGAAGCACGTTATTTTATTGGAAACCGACAAAGGTCGAGTCTTTTCCAAGAGACTTTATTATACCCTTATGTTTGATTATCATGGACCTTATCATGTTTTATACTTTGTAGCTTCTTATTTGAGGACACACCCGAAGATGACACGGGCCCTCCACACGTATGTCCATGGCTAAAGGGTGACGCATGCCCTTGTTCAGGATCCTATCAACTGTGCCAACACTGTAGGAAGTACAGTTACGCTTGATAAGATTTTATACAAGACACCCGCCATTGTGACGAATTTTGTTCAACCACGCCACCACTTTATTGAAGCATCATGACAGAAACTTTACGGGGGAAATAGACTGAGATACGTTGATAGTGTTTGTTTGCGCAGTGACTTTTGACATATAATCATTTTTCATTTATAAATATTCATTTCTGTAAATAAATTTGTATATATTTTTCTGTTCTGAGTTGTTGGTTGTTTTAGATAGCAATTGTGGTCGGCCTGGTATCCCATCGTAGTCCCTATTGTGACAGCTATATACAGGTGAGCGACCTCAGGGTCATCATGGCCCTCTTGTTTCTTTATCAGGTAAGCCTTGTAACGTATCTTCTTTGAACACTGTCTCTTGCTTGCCAACACTTGTATCTTTC